TTCTGTTCTTCACTTTTTGCCTAAAAGTGTAAGTTCCGTAATTAGCAAAGAGTTTTCTTGCTCTCGTCCTTTGAAGTACCAATTCTAGCACAGAGGCACGGAATTCCGGCAGGCGATACAAAAAACGATTTCGCTAAGTGTTTTCAAGATTCTCTAATGAGATTCGCATTACTTGAGTAGATGCTTCGTGGGAAATTGGACTGGACGTTCGGATGTGGCAGTGCCCTACAACGTTCGCAGAATCCTCTTTTTTGCAGCAAGGACTAAGCTGTGAAAAGCCATTTTGCATAGCGCACGGTGTTCCAAATATGATGGCCACATTTGCAGAGTTCAAGCGCTGATCCCCTGAGGGAGTTGGTGTTTGAAAAGTGGTCGGTTGGTCTCTCGCAAGCGCCATGTTCTCACCGTGGATATCACTCATCTCGGCTCGAAGATAGACGGCCCAGAATGCTGTCAGGCCACGGCCATTGCCCCGTTCCGACATACGATTAGCTTCAGCTTGGAAACTTATGTGGACAAAGTTCTTATTCCACTTAAAGGCGCCTTTATCCACCTACTTATCATCCGCAATCATTCTGGATATTCTAATTCACAAGCTTGGTTTGAGGCCTTTTATTTATGCTTCAGTTCTTTTCTTAGAATTGTATGCTATAACTGTCCTGATACTTAGATCTTAAAAATTTTATACATAATTTCCATTTTCAACAAATGTTTGATTGATTTTGAAGGAAAGTAAATCAAGCGCTTCTTAACTGTGCTTAGGGCAAAATCATTGTTGGCATATAGCGGATTCAAAAGTTGTTGAAAGAAAACACATTTTTGAAATGTCCTGCTGGGAATGTTAAGATTCTACTATATTCGAAATTACTTTTGTACACTTTTACAACCTATTTTTTTCTTATCAAGAAAGGATGATTGAATATCTTTGTCTAGTTTTATAGAACATTTTTTCCAAAGAAAGATAGAGGACGATTGGATATTTTTGTCCAGTGTTATAGTCCATTTTTTTCTAATCAAGAAAGGTACAAGATGATTGACCGTCACTTCGAATAGTTATGAATTTCGAGTCTTTTATTGAATGGCTCATTTGTTTCTTATCCACAAGTCCCTTCTACCAAAATGTAATAGAACATTACATTTCAGATGTTAAACTTTGTTTGCCTTTTATGAACTTGAGAATTCCCATTCCTACGAATATTTTTTTCAAAGCCGAAAAACAGCAGTTTCTTGAACTCTTTATGGTTTTAACGTACTCTTGCCAAAGAAGCAGATTGACGTCAACCTATAAATCAAAAAACTGGATAGAAAAGGTGATTATATTGTTGCATAATTATCTCTCACTCAATTCACGCAAAACAGCTCATTAC